AAAAAAAAAAAGAAAAATCTTTCCTGATAAGAAGGATCTGATATAGCTGATGCTGCCCCTTGCCCTTCTTCCTGCCTTGAATATGGACGTGATGCCTGGAGCTGAGGCAGCCATCTTGTGGCCAAGAGAATTACACAGATGTCAGCTTAGACCTCATCAAGCTATAGATCCAATGCCAGCCACCATTTTCCTCTGAATGTCTGGCTATGTGAAAAAAATACATCTGCACTTGTTTTAGCCACTGAAGGTCTTCAGTTACTTGCTAATGAATTCACTAGGGAACAGAAGGGGTCACTTTCTAGCTGAGGGAACAGCATGAGCAAAGCTATAGCGACTGGTTGAAAGAGAACTCCAGTGTTGCCAGAGCATAAAGTCAGGGGCAAGGGCAGAGTGACCAATTGTCCTGGTTTGCCTGGACTGAGTTTTCCAAGACACGGGTGTATCAATGCTACGACCAGAACAGTCCCAGGCGAACCAAGATGGTTGGTCACCCTGGCAGGGAGGAGCAAGCGACAAGACTGGAAAGGAAGCAAACGCCCTTATGGAAGGCCTTGTGCAGTGGTAGGGGCTGCTGGGACTTCATGCTGAGGGCAGAGGGAGCTGTGGAGGGCTTTTAGATAGCGAAGTGGCCACTATGGTCCGACGTGTACACTAAAGTGTCCATCAGACAGCTGTAGGGAGGGTGATTTGGAGCAGGCAAGAGTAGAGGCAGAGAGGCCAGTAAGGAGGCTCCTGTAGCAGTCTAGGCCAAAAATAATACAGCCTGGATGGAGGTGGTAATGAAAAGGAGAAAAGGGAGGTTTCAGTAATTATTTAAGAGGCACAACTAGCGTAGAGCAGCAGGCCTCCAGCCCCACATCGACATAAACTTCCAGGAATCTGCTTAAATTCGAACTATATTACTTTGTCAGGAGCCAGGCAATGGTAAAGCAAAATAATATTCTTTGATAGTGCCAGCTACCTTGGGAGAGGCCTGAGGCAGAGGACTGCTGAAGCCCAGGAGTTCGGACCGACCCCCAGCCCCTGAGCAACATCGCAAGACCCTGTCTCTAGCAAAAAGATACAAAATAGTGTAGCCAGGCCGTAGGTGGGTGCGGGCATGTACCTGTGGCGGGGCTGCACGCCGCGGGTACCTGCTGCCGCCTCGGCGAAGGCGCTGGAGAGCAGGAAGGATCCAACTCTGAGCCCCAAGAGGCTTCAACGGCTGCCAAGGTGGCGAAAAGCCGTCAAGTCGTGCCTCCTATCTCGCAACCCGCCCCAGCCCCTGGTCAACAGAGTGGACCCTCGGTCTGAGAAAACAAGAAACAACAACAACAAAAATGACTATTTGTTAGCTAATACATGGTGAAACACATACCCACACTTCAATTTGTTCAAAAGACTGTCAAACATTTGCCAGCGCCGCGGTGGGGCTCACAACCCTGTAAATCCCTGGCAACCTGTCTGGAGGAGGCGCAGCCTGGGGGGTGATCACGGGTGACGGTCAAAGGAAGTCCTCAAGACGCAAGCCTGCGCCAAATGGTCAAAACCTATCTCCTACTAGAAAAATTACAAAAAAGTTAAGGCCAGGCGTCGTGGCCAGGCGCTATAATCACAGCCCCTACTCGGCGACGGCCTAATGGCAGCGAGAATCGCTTGGACCTGGGTGGAACAGTTGAGTGAGCTGAGATCCGGTGCTACTTCACTGTCCAGCCTGGGTAGGCAAAAAGAAGCGAAACTCTGTCTTCCCAAAAAAACAAAGGGGGGCGTGTAAAATTCTCCCACGCTTTGGGGACAAGATCCACTATTATCGCCCAAGAATCAAATGCCCTATATATGGCTAAACAGAATAATGACTCCCTGCAAAAGATGTTGTCAACACCCCAATCCCCAGAAACCCTGTGAACATGTACCGTTACTTGGCAAAAGAGATTTTTCAGATACGATTAAATTAAGGATCTTGCCATGGAGTGACCATCTTGGATTATCTGGGTGGGCTCTGTGTAATCAATAAGGGTCCTTAGAAGAGGGAGACAAGAGGGTCAGGGTCAGAGAGAGATTTGAAGATGCTATGCTGCTGGCTCTAAAGATAGAGGAAGGGGCCACAAACCAAGGAACACAGGCGGCCTCTGGAAGCTGGTAAAGGCCAGGAAATGGATTCTTCTCCAGACCTCCAGAAGGAAACAGTCCTGCCCATACCTGAACTTTAGCCCAGTGAGACGAACTGTGGACTTCTGACCCTCAGAACTACAAGATAATAAATGTGTGTGTTTTTAGTCACTAAGTTTGTGATGATTTGTTACAACAGCAATAGGAACCAAATTCACCATCCTTCCTCCCGTGTTAGAAGGCAAAATCAAAGCGCACTGTGGTGGGTGTAGTGGGGAGGGAGAGGGAGGGGTCAGGAAGGACTCCCTGGGATCTGGCTTGGGTAACAGTAGGGATTTGTGGACTTTGTCCAAGAAATCACAAACTGGTGGCTGGAAGGGAGGGAAACTGGAAATATAGGCACTGACCCTCCCACCTCCACCTTCTGCCTGGGGGCTGGGAGGCCTGGAAGGGGCTACTGAGCCCCACGAGCCACTGATCCACTAGGGTGCCATTGGGTGCCTAATAGCCGCTGCGTGGCTGGCATGTATTGAGCACTTGGTAATTTGTGTTAGGCTCCACCCAAGGCTTCGTATATATGATCTCATTTCATCCTCATGGCAACCCTGATTATTTATCCCTCTTTACAGATGAGGAAACTAAGGCTCAGAGAGATTTCAAACTCAGCCCAGATGACACAGCTAGTAATGGGGCACCATGATTTAAACCCAGGTCATCTAACCCCAGAGCCTGTGCAACTAACAACTTGTTGTTCTGCCATGAATCCTAAAGTCTAAGGATGCCCTTGCACGCTGACCCCCTGTAGTGACCAGGGAGGTGTAGGCTATGGGGGTGCCGAGAAGCCTCAGTAAAACCAGCGATAAGCCCAGAGAGACAGAGGCTGGAGAGGAGAGTCATTGCTCCCAGATGCTCACGAAAGACTTTCAGTCACTGTATCAACTAGCAGAGGCATGATAATGCTGCCTAACAACCAACCCCAAACGCCTAGGGGCAGGCAGTGACGAGCACTTATTGCTGACACATCTGGGG